CAAGAGGAGCAAGGTTTAGACCAGGCTTCCTAGTCTTCCTTGTTTCCTAGAAAGCAGAGGAAGAAACGTCTTCGGGTAGTCTGTATAATAAACTGTGTTTTATTTGACAATGGGGTGTGATGGGCTGTGCTTCAGGATCAACCACAAGGCTTGGTAAATGCCGTGCCTTCCTGGGTTCAAAGGTTCCTCCCTCCCTGGGGCACCAGGTATGTCTCATTAGAAAGAGGAAGGAGGTTCCTTCCAGAGGGTATCTGCCCCACCCAAAGGACAGCTGGAAAGGACTCATCCCTTATAGCTGGAGAGTTCTGAGTTACTGGATGCTTTGTGGTTTACAGACCATTTCCCCACTCTTTTAATAACAATACACCACCCCACCCATGAGGTGTTGGAGAAATGATTATTATCCCCATTTTATATATAAAGAAACTGAAACTGAGAAACGGCTTTGGCTAAGGTCATATAACTAGAAAGTCAAGTCAAGATGCATTTATTAAGTGTTTACTGTGTGCCAAGCATTGGGCCGATCCTCAGGGAGTCAAAGAAAGACAAAAACAGTCCCTACACCAGAGGAGAATATATTTTCATGGGGGAGATAACATCTAAATTATTAGATACATGTGAGATAATACAGACTAGATGGAAGGTGATCTCAGAAGGGAAGGAACTAGTAGCTGGAGGGGAACCGTAAAGGCTGCCTGTAGAAGATGGGATTCTTAAAGGAAGCCAATGGAAAGCTGAAGTCCAGAGGTAGGGCTAAGGAGGGACAGAGAGCCTTCTGGCACAGGAAGGGGTAGGGGCAGGAAACGCAAAGCCACAGAGAGGAAGATGGAGGGTTGTGCATGAGGAACAGCAAACAGGCCAGCATCACTGAATCATAGAATGTGTAGAGTCAACAACAATGAGCATTTTTATAAAGTGCCTACTACATGCCAGGCACTGTGCTAAGCACTAGAGACACAAAGAAAAGCATGAAACAATCCCTGCTCTCAAGGAGCTCAGAGTCTAATGGGGTACAAACAAAAATTATATGCAGGATAAATTAGAGATAATCTCAAAGGGAAAGCACTAATAATAATAGCCAGCACTTACATAGCACCTACTATGTGCCAGGCACTGTGCTAAGCGCTTTACAAATATTATTTCATTCACTCTTCACAACAACCCTGGGAAATAGATGCTATTATAATCCTTATTTTACAGATGAGGAAACTGAGGACAACAGTGGTTAAGTGACTTGCCCAAGATCACACAGCTAATAAGTATCTGATTTGAACCCAAGTCTTCCTAACTCTATCACTTAGCCACCTAGCTACAATGTACCAGCATTAAAGGGGACTGCAGAAGATGGGATTTTAGCTGAGTCCTGAAGGAAGCCAGAGAAACCAGGAGAAAGAGATCAGAAGGGAGAGATTAGAAGGCATGAGAGTCAGCCAGTGACAAAGCACAGAGCTGGAAGATGAACAGTAGAAAAGCATAAAAAGACTAGAAAGATGGGAGGAGGGAAGGGATAAGCATTTCTATAGCACCTACTATGAGCCTGCAAGAAAGGGGTCAGTAATAAAGGGCTTTAAATATCAAAGACTATGCATTTGATCCTGGAGGTTAGTTAATAGGAAGCCAGCAATGGTTGGTGAGTAGGAGTGTGACATGGTTAGACCTGTGCTTTTGGAAAATCACTCTAGTATGTGTGGGGAGAGGAGTAGTATGGAGTGGCTTCAGGGGAGAGACCAATTAGAAAGCTACTGCAACAATCCAGGCAAAAGGAGATAAGGGTCTGAACTAAGGTGGTGGCTGTGTGAGTGAAGAGAAGAGGTTGTATATCAAAGATGGCATGAAGGTAAAAACAACAAGACTTGGCAACATATTCTGCAAGTGAGAGTGAGGATGTAAGGCTGACTGGGGTTACAAGTCTGGGTGACTGGGAGGCTGATGGTACCCTCAACATTAATGGGACTTGCACCTGGCCTATTGCTACCTAGTCCAATCCAATCCAACAAACATTTATTAAGTGCCTACTGCATGCTAGGCATTGTGCTAAATGCTGGGAATACAACTGATGAAAGGATAGCGCCTGCTCTTAATGAGCATACAGTCTAAAAGTAGACACACAAAAAGCGGCAGGAAAGAGGGTGGGGGGAATGAGCCCCAGGGGTTCTTATTTGTGGAGTTGAAACCAGACCAAGCAGCAGAGGCAGAGTAAAGTGATCTGAGAACCCAGTTTCTGCTCTGTATAAAGGAAGACCAGCAGCTAGGTGGTGCAGTGGATAGAGTGCTGGGCCTGGAGTCAGGAAGACTCATCTTCATGAGTTCAAATGTGGCTTCAGACACTAGCTGTGACCCTGGGTAAGTCACTTAACCCTGTTTGCCCCAGTTTCCTCATCTGTAAAATTAGCTGGAGATGGAAATGGCAAACCACTCCAATATCTTTGCCAAGAAAAACCCAAATGGGGTCACGGAGAATCAGACATGGGATTTTAAAAAATAATAATAATTAACAACAAAGTAAAGGAAGACATTGGGAGGAATTTGGCACTCCACCCTCCAGCCCTCCAATCAGAGAGGAAGGTGAGAGAAGTGGTGTCATTCAAGGCTGGAGTGGCCTTCTGGGTGATGAGGTCAGATGCGATGAACATATCCTGGAAAGGTCATCTTGTTCTATGGAGCTGAAAACAGGCAAGGCCCCAGGTCAGTAGGTCTAGATCTGAATTTCTGGGCTTTGACATACAAATAGTGCCCGAGCAGCCTATGCATAGTTCCCAGGGGGGAATCACTTGTCAATATCAAGAATGTGGCAGTGGGGGTTGGACTAAGAACCTTTTGAAATTTTTCTGGTTCTAAGAATCTAGGATTCTGATCCCAACTCAGGAGGCACAGGAAACAAGTCTACCACTTCCTTCCTACCGAAGACAATGATTATGCTGCCTCCCAAGTCTTCTCCAGAATGAATACCACCCCCTCCAGTTTCCCCATATCCTAGGCATCCTTCCCTAGCTGCCTTCAGCAGCCCAAGTTCACCATTGTCCCTCCCATAATGGGAGGCCCTCTACCAGACATGAGCTTCCCAAGTTCTCTCCAAGAGCATCCAAAAGGATTTGAGTTAGGGATTGAGGTATTTCTCTAGTAGCCCCAGGGACTTCCCATCCCCCTCTCCATCCCCCAGCAGAGACCCCAGTGCCTGCTCCTTCTTGCTCCATGATGCTTCAGCATGGGGGTGGTGAGGTGGCAGGCAGGACCATCTGCCTCTGTCGCCTTCCCTCCCTGGGCTTCTGCCATGGCGATGAAAAGCTGTCTTTCCCTGTGTTTCCACCTACTCCCTGGCCCGGGTAATGCTTTGATAAATGTTCTCAAATCAGCAGCTCCTCCACCTCCAGATGATGGTGCTATAAAAGCAATCACTATTGGAGGAAGGGCTGCTCTGAGAGAGAGGGGCCAGGCTTGGAGCAATGCTTAGCATTAATTCCACAACCAAGGAGCAGAGAGATTTCAGGCAGGAGATAGAGAAAAACAATTTTTTTCCTCCTTATCTTCTTTTTCCTTTCTGTCTCCCTGGGACCCAATTCTTGCTTGTCCACCATGAGATGGGAGGAAATGGGAAGGGGGGGATTGGGAAAGGATGTTGCATTCTTCCTAGCAGGGGGCTCTCCCCTTCTATCCCTGGTTAATTCCAAGGCAGGGAGGAATCTTTTCCTTCTATGGCAGGTTTCAAGCCTAGTTCTTTGCATTCCCAGGTCTGGTGGTCTGCCACCTGGCACAGGGAGAGCTCCTGTGGCCAGAGAACAGGGAGATCTCCAGACACTCCCTTACCACCAATCCACTTCTTAGCCCCATCCTATCTACGTGTTGCAAGCATCTTTTCTCTGGATCTGGATTGTAGGTTGTGCATGATACTGACTTGAATTCCTCACCTCCTTTTGCATCTTCCTGCCTTTTATGTTCTCCTTTCCCTTCCTCTGCCTCTTTTCTGCCTGGATCAGATGCCTGGAATGTTCCATTGCATTCCATAAAGGTGATGCCTGGTTCCCAGGCCAGAGAAATTCTAGAATGTAATGTCAAATGGTTCTAGGTTTGGAACTTCTTATGCCAAGGCCCCCCCCAACTGGTTCTAGACCAGAAGGCCTCAGACATGTGGGCATAGTGTGCCCCTCTTTATAGTTTCCTCTACAAATTCCTATATTTGTGCCCTGGCTTGGAGGGGTACCCTTCCCAGCTCCCTGGACCTGTGAAGATGTTTCTTTGGTGGAGAGGTATTTCCACTTCCTCTAGCCCTCAAGAAGTGAACCTTCCCCATCAATGCTTGCCCCTGTTGGATTAAGTATAGCTGCCTTAGAAAAGTTGAATGCTGGGGCTGGAAGGGACATTAGAAACAAAAATATCTGAGCCGGAGGATCCAGCTGGAGGGACCTCAGAGCCCATCTAGTCCAATCCCTTCATTTTAGAAATGAGGAAACCAAGATCCAGGGAGGGGAAGTGACTTGTCTGAGGTCATACTAGGAGTCTAAGATTAGAATTTGGGGTCTCTCCAATTCCAGACCAGCACCCTTCCCATCACTCTGGGCTGCCGCATTTGGAGAGAACAAGAGCAAAGAGTGTTGGAAAGAAACCAGACTATGCTATTCCTCCTTCACCCCCACCCCAGATTCCCTCAAATATGATGTTCATGGGCCTATCCCTTCTGCTGCCTCCTAACACGTAGCTCTGAGTGGTGAGGAGGTTGGAAGGTTAGGTGTGTGAGGCTGGGGCGGGGCATTGGAGGTGGCCTGATGCCCGGCTAGATGGGGAGGGAAACATCTCTCTGTCCTTGATGGGGGGCGGGAGGTTCTCAGCGCCATCGCTGTAGCCTCCCTGACCTCCCCTGTGTTGAGTCCCTCCATCCTCCCTCATGCTCTTTCCCTCCCTCCCCTCCTTCCCTCCCTTCCTCCTCCCCAGGCGGGGGCACTGGGCGCCCGAGGCTGCAGAGCCGGTCTCGGGCCAGCAGGTGTCGCTACGGAGCGCTTCTTTTGTGGTCCTGATGCTGCCGCTGGCCTGAGAGCGAGAGAGCTTCCTCTCCAGCTGAGAGCTTTTCTCCTCCGTTCATTTGCTCTTATCCAACCTGTGTCGGTCTCGGGCATGGCCAGATTGACGGAGAGCGAGGCGAGGCGGCAGCAGCAGCAGCAGCTCCTGCAGTCCAGAGCCTCCCCCATGAGCAGCGGCCCCGAGCCCCCCGTCCAGCAGGACAGCATGAAGGACCTGGATGCCATCAAGCTCTTCGTTGGCCAGATCCCCCGCAACCTGGAGGAGAAGGACCTCAAGCCCCTTTTCGAGCAATTCGGCAAGATCTACGAGCTGACGGTGCTCAAAGACCGCTATACCGGCATGCACAAAGGTGCGCCCCCGCCCCGCCCCTCCCCTCTGCTCTCCACCCCGCCCTGGGGCCAGCCCGCCCGCCGCCTGCCCGCTGCCTAGCCGCCGCTTGCCCCCTCCTCTGCTCCTTGGTGCTACCCCTCTTCTAGCATCCTAGCGCTCTCCTGCTCTCGCGCATCCCTCTCCCTCCCCACTCCACTTTCTGGCATCATTATCATCATCATCATCATCATTATCATCATCATCATCATCATCATCTCATCATCATCATCATCACCACCATCATCATCTCTTTCTTTTCCTTTTCCTTATCCCTTTCTCCTTCCTCTTTCCCCTATCCTCCATCAGCCTCCCTTCTTTTCTTTTCACTCCTGTCCTCCTACTGCCTTCCATCCTCCCCCTCCATCCTTTGCTTCCTTCTCAGCATCATCTCTCTCTCTCTCTCTCTCTCTCTCTCTCTCTCTCTCTCTCTCTCTCTCTTTCTCACTCCCTGTCTCCCCCTCCTTCCCTCTCCATCCCATCCCCCCATCTCTCATACCTTTCCTTCCCCCCCCAAGACCCCTCTGTCTCATCTTCTTCACTTCCCCCATCAGCCCTCCCTCTTTTCCTCCTCCCACTCCCCCTGGGTTTCTAGGGGTGGTGTGGGCAGATTAGGGCTGTCCCCCTCCCTACTTTTCCATTCATCCAAGCTTTTGACAGGAGCAACCCAGGAAGTTTTAACCTCCGGACAGAATCCCATTGGTAATTTTCACAAAGGGGACGCGCCTGTGCGAGAGACTGGGGAGATCAGAAACACTAAAGGTCCAACTGTCCAGTGTGCAAACAGATGCCAAGGAGGCCAGCTAGTTGGTAACTACAAAGAAAAAGGGGATGGGTATGTGTGGGGAGAGAGGATATATGGGAAGAGCATTCCTATTTGTGAAAATGCAATCTTCCCCCAAGGTTTGGGGGAAAGAGTCTGTCTCTCCCTTCCTCCTGCATTCACCCACCTATTGCCCATTTTGGAAAGCATCTATCCCCCTCCTTCCTCCATCCAACATTCCATCCTTCCCTCCATCTCTCTGCCATTTCCTCATGCCTAAATTAATCCTGGATGAGGCAGGTTGGGGGAACGGGGTGAAGGGTTTCCTGTATCTGGAGACAATGAGTCCTTCAAAGGCAGAGCTGGGCAGAATCCTGGTGTGGAAATGAGAATCATTTGGCTAGTTTTGATAGACAGAGAAATAGGAAATTGCCCAGACCAGAAGGAGGTGGGCTTCCTGCAACCAGATGACCTGCCTCTGTAGAATAGAATCTCATTAAAATACAGAAGAATCCAATGATAACAGGAGAAGAAAATTGTTTATGGTTCAACTTATATCTTGGGTTCAGATTGCTCTTGTTAAATCAATTGTTCTGTGAGGGTATGCCCGTGCATAGGAATTATGGACAGAGTTGACATGGTAAATATAGAGGCTTATGTTGTTGGCATCCCTGTTTCCAATTCTCTTGTGAGCAACCAAGAATATTTAGGGAGATGAAAACATGCATAGAAGATCTTTGTGCCAGTTGCTGGGCAGGTACTGGAGTCCCAGAGAACCCTTGGTGCCCCAGATCTTCTACCCCTGGCTGGAGGCCCCAGTCTACACAACCTTCAGTGTGCCTCTCTAGATGCCATCTTCTAGGGGTCTTAAACATGAACCAGGGGGCCCTTTCCCCCCAGAATGCCTTCCCAATGGGGCAGGCATGTAAAGAGAATGTTGGACAGATGTCCAGACCAAATCTACGGGGGCTGATTCATTCCAAAGCTCTTGCCAGGTCCCTCAAAGGGAAGGCTGATGTCCTCACACTCACTTAATGGAGGAACCTTCTCAGAACAGCCCAGTAAAACCCTAAATTGGACCAGTAAAATCTTCTGCTCATTCCCCTCAGCTTAGCCATGTGATGGAGATGGCTAGATTTGATAAAAGATTCAAGAACTGGAAACTGAATGAGTAGATTGGACTTCTCTGGGGCCCTAATGAAGCCCAAATTCCTCAGCCTTCCCTCTTCTACTCCCTCCCTTCTTCCAACATGTGTGAAACATGAATCATCACTATCTAGAAAGATTCCCACCCTGGGTGGGGCTGGAGGTTGTCACACATGGCTGCTAGCACACTTTGCAAGAGACCAGGGCTCTTTTTACAAGGTTCTCTTGGTGTCCTGGGCTCCTGAGATGTGATCCAAGAAACTGGAGGAGGGAGGGTTGTTGTCTTGGTGATGGGAGACTTGAAGCAATTTGTTTCCTTGTTAATTAACCTTCCCTTCCTCCTCTCCCCTCCATCACACACACACACACACACACACACACACACACACACACACACATACACACATACACACTTCCTAATTCTATGTTACTCTGCTGTTGAGATCAGTCTTCATCATCATGGCAGGGAGAGGAGAGTCAAAACACTGGGGGAGGCAGAATCATGGACTTGTCTACCATGAATAATGACTTCCTGGACCCAGGGAGATGGGATTAAGAAAGTATTCAGTATGCCCCAAATGCAAGGGGTATCACCCACTTTCCCCTCTGCTTATAGGCTGTTCTGACTCATAGAATCTCTGGGGTGGCCAATCTAAGTACCCCTATTTGGACAAGTGCCATGCCTCAATGGTAACATAAGGGAAGAAAGTAGAGCGCCAACATATGACTAACTGCTGGAGCCCTGAAGAAGTTTATTTCCATCAAAGCAAAGTTCACAGGCAGGTTTCCCCCTTTTAAGCCCCTCTCTGTATCTTGGCCTTACACCTTTGTTTCAGAATTTCCCTGAGGAGTGGGTTTGAGTTACCGTGGCTTGCCCCAGTGCTGGAGGAAGTGGTGAGAGGGGCCAATTGGCAAGGTGTCACCTACACACCATTTCAGGTCCTGGGGTAATGTGCTCTGTGCTTAAGTATAGGTCTGGTTGAAGGCATCCAGGAGAGGGAAGGGAGGGGAGTAGAAAATGTGGGCTTCCTGATAGAGAGAACCTTGGGCCAAGAGTCAGAAGAACTGGCTTCTAGCCTCAATTCAGACACTGATGAATTTGTAACCTTGGGTGAGTCACTTTGCATTTGGGACCTCAATTTCCCCATCTGAAAAATGAGGATTTGGATTACATGACCCCTAATGTCCATTCCAATTCCAAAATCCTATGTTCTAAGGGTCCTCCTCAACTATGACATTCTCTGTTCTAAGGGCCCTTCCAGTTCTAACATTCTACGTTCTAGGTCCCTCCCCAATCTGACATTCTACATTATGTGATTCTAGGAAAGGAGGCAGCGAATTAATGGAGAGCTGTGTGTGTTTAAGTGAGGCTGAGTTGAAGGCAAGGAGAGAATGGTGCTTTTTAGTTGCTGGTCAAAGAGGGGAGTAATGGACATTTGATTGGGACAATCAGAAGAAGACTACCTTGCAAGCCCAGTATCTTATTTGGGTCTCAGAATCACCCTGTGAGGCCAGTAAAAACAGGGATTATTTCCCTCATTTTGTAGCTGGGGAAACTGAGTCCTATAGAGGAAAAGGGTCTTGATGGAGGTCACTCAGTGACTCAGTGGCACAGGTAGACCTGGAACTCAGTACTTTCCACCCCTGACTTTTTGTCACACCTGCAGCTGTTTAGATTTGGGTGGAAATGTCTGGACAGGGCTGGGTGCTGAAAGCTGGGGAGATTAGGGTGTGTATGTGTATGTGGTTGGAGGGTGGGACCAGATCTCTCCAGAGCCCCCTTGGAGAGGGCGAGGGAATAAGTATCATTCCCACAAAAACTGGTGTTGTTGATAGATACAATCGCTCCCTGAGCTGGGCACTCGGAATAAAACTGCTCTGTGTGTGTGTGTGTGTGTGTGTGTGTGTGTGTGTGTGCCGCCACTCTCAGAACAAACCTGTTACCATCTGACAATGCTGGGCCTCGAAAATAGATCGGTGTGGCGTGGTGGGGGCTGGGAGCCAGGAGGGCATGGGAGGGGGAGGGGTACCCGTGAATAAAACACTCATTTCATTACAAACAGCCTGTTAAATATAGTCTGCGTTTGTAGGTTGAGGTCAAGCTCCAGACAGAGGCAGAAATCTGTCACTACCCTGTATGGAGATGAGAAGGCCAGTGCTGGCATTACCTGGGTGGGCTCCTTATAACAAAACTCATTCAGAAACACAGGATTCTATAGCAAAAAAAAAAAAAAAACCTCTCCCCTAACCTCTGCTCTGAGTTGTTTTTCGGTTTTTGTTTTTGTTTTCTTGGTGTGTGTGTGTGTGTGTGTGTGCATGTGCCTATAGATACGTATTTGTGGAGAGAGACAGAGACAGAGAGACAGAAAGAGACAAAGAGAGACAGAGAAAGGCAGTGAGACAGAGAGGAGGCATGTGGGGCTGCTGTTTTGGGTTGTCAATTTTCTTTCCAGGGAAGGATGCTTATGAGTGCAAGTATAGAATTTGGGAAGGGGGGGATTTCACTCCCTGATTCCCCCATCCCATTTATTTCCAATCATTCCTGATTCTTCTGACCCTCTGGCCTCTAGCCCCTGGGGCCATCCAGTGATATTTGGGAAATTTTCTTTCCCCTCCCTCATCCTGCTTCCCAGGACCCAGCACCCTATTCTTATCTCCCTCATGGGCCCAGGGCCTGGCAAATTTGGCGCATCTGGTGGGCATCGTTAATTTTTCTATGAATGTTAATGCTTTAATGTCAATATTATTATGAAGTGGCTTATACATTCATATTAGCAGATGAATATTAATGCTCCAACACCCTCTGTAGTGGCTCGTGTTACTCCAGTTCCCCTGGTATTTATTCACAATGCCGTTTTTTTTCTATTTATGTTAATCATATATACATTTGCATATTAATGGTAATATTTGTCTTAAAAGGGCTATTTTGAGGGCGGGAAGCAAGGATGTGTCTTATCAGAGATGGGGGAGAGATAGACCACCGGCCGGCACCCCAGGATTTGGAGGGATGGTGGCACCTCGCAGGGTCTGGACTGGGTGTCCTCCCTAGTGGGTTTTAGGAGGGATGGGAGGTA